CCCCCCCCCCCCCCCCCGCAGGGAGCCATCCAGAGATGTGCTGGTGCCCTGAGATGACTTTTCTTGCTAAATGGCATTTAACTGTGTGCACAGGGGGGCTGGCGGTGGGTGGGCGGGTGGAATCTGGACTTTTCAAGAAGCTCAAGGATGGTGAGTCCAGCTACCGGGCCCCATGCTTGGCGCTCTTCGGGCTGTTGATGGGAGGCTCGGGCCGGACCCCTTGTGCCAGCCCATGATCTTGGTCCCCTGCAGTGAACTCCAACTGTCCTTGGAGGAGCCAGTCGAGACCGCCATCCTCCTGAGCCTGGTGGGGGTTGGGAGCATCGTGGTGAACCAGTGGGCTACGGTCCTGCAGGACAACGCGATGCGGGCCCGGGTCTTGTGGGAAAGTGAGTGGTTCCGGCACTGCCGTCCAGTCCTGCAGCCATGTGGCCTCCTGCGGCCTGTGGGGGTGGACGGCCCATCTTAGGGCTGGTTCTTGTCTAGATCTGTTGGCGGTTGGCAGGCCGATCGGGAGAACAACCCGCCTGCTTCAGGAGGTGGGAGCCAGTGAAACTGCCTACCACGGTAACTAGAAATGGGCTCTCCTCGTCGTCCCTCGGGCGCGGGGTTGGGGGACTCTCCCTTCTCCTGTTTGCAGGGACCCTCAGCCTCCTACAGCCCACAGCCTGTGCTGTGTGAAATCTGGCATCCGGTGTCTAGGGAGGAACACACAAAGGACTAGAACATCTTTATCTTCAAAAGGCTCAAGTCCTCAAACCCTGAAAGCTCCCCAGGGTGCTCTTGGGGGGGAAACCCACCCACTCCTCCAGCGCAAATGAAACCCTAATGTCCACATGTAGTGACAGCGCCCCACATGGATTCTGGTGCGGAGAGCCAGGCAGCACAGGGTAGCTCGGGCAGCAGGCTGACAGGAGCGCCTGCCCCAGCTGAGCAGAGTTAGCCCAGCTCACGAGGTCTCCCAACACAGGTGCAGAAGGGGCTTAAAGCTTAAAACCCTGCGGGCCACAGTGCCAGGGAGGCGGTTGCCAAACAGTAAACGCTTGTGAGTGAGCAAGTGAGTGCATGAGTGAGCCAAGTGTGTGTGTACATAAGTGTGTGTGTGAGTGAGCGACTATGGGAGTATGTGTGTGAGCGAGCGTGTGAGGGTGTGTGAGTGAGGGAGCCAGCGGGAGGGCGAGTGGGTGGGGTTGGCCCGTGGCTCCGCTGTGTCCACACCTGGGCAGTGTGGAAGGCAGGGCACGCAGCGCCGTCCCCTCCGTCGGGCTGGCCCCGGGCTCACGGGGCCTGCATGTGATGTGAGCCCGCATCGCCTGCCCATCCGCTCTCCCCAGACGAGTCCTCGCACGCCTGGAAGGACTGGCCGGCAGCGCTCCGGCCGCAGCTGCAGGGCTCCGAGCGGCTCCCCATCACCCTCAACACGGTGCTCTACGGGCTGCCGCACCAGGCCATCATGTGAGGGGTGCCTGGCCCGCTCTCGGGGGTCTTCAGCATCCTCCTGAGACCCCTGCCAGGTTGCCCAGAGGAGCCCCCACCCCGTTCCGCACAGGGTGGTGCCTGCCCGTCTCCACCGTGAAGCCAGGGCCACGTGGATGGAGGAGAGTCTCTAGGGGTGGGTGGGGGTACCTGGGCCCACCCGACAGCTGCCTGGACCCCGGGGGCCCCTTGTTTCTCTAGGCTCTCCCTGGGGCCCCAGGCCTTCATGCCTTGGCTCCTAATGAGGACACGATTCTGTCCAAATGCTTTAATAAAGAGCTTCATTACCTCTGAACTGTGTTTCTGTGCCCCCAAAGCAGGGACCAGCCTGGTTCTGCCCCCCGCCTGGCGCAGATGCCAGTACCTCCAAACTCACAGGGAGAGCGTGGCCGTGTGACCTGAGACCCTGGGCCTCCCTGCCCCAGCTTTCCACCCGGGGGTGGGACTCACATCCGAATAGAGGTGACCGTGTGTTCAGGACTCCCAGGGGCCCAGCCTGGGACCTGACCCACCGGCCCTGTGGGGCTTTGCCGAGGAGACGGGAAGGGCCGGGATGTCCGCTGCAAATGCCTGTCAGTGGCGTGGCCGGCGTGGGGCTGGACAGCCCTGATGTCCCGGCCCCGTGGCAGGGGCGGCCCAGTCTGTGCTATGACGGCTCTAGGGCAGACTCAGCTCCGCAGGCCTGGGGGGACCGGGAGGGGACAGGCTGGTGGCAGGGGCAGGCAGAAGAACCAGTGGGGAGACGGGCCAAGACTTTGTTTCCCCTGAATCGAGGGACCGGAAATGGCAAAGCAAACACGTCAGGCATCCTTGGTCTCCCATGTGTCTCTGGAAGGAATCTAAAGTGGTGCAGCCCTTCTGGAAAAGAGCTTGGCATGTTTTCATAAACCGTGTGTGCAATTAGCACCTGAGCCAGCCTCTGCACGGATCCCAGAGAAATGGAAACTTAGGTTCACACAAACATACCTGTATGAATGTGTCTGGCAGCTTCATCCCATTACAGCAAAAATTAGAACCAACCCAAAGGCTTCCACCTCGAGTGGTTAAGCAGACAGTGCATTCACTTGCTGGAGCGCCCATGACGGAAAAGAAGCAGCCATGACTGGACTGGACCTCAAGGGCATCGTGTTGAGCAGAGAAGCCAACGCCAAGGTCACTCGCTGTGGTGGTGGTCAGACAACGTCCTCAGAGCGCAGAGCAGCCGAGAGGAGAACACGGCCCACGGAAGCCCTGGGGCGATGCCGGATTCTGCACCTGGGCTGTGACCGGGCCACAGATCTACACACGGGAGAACACTGCACGGCGCCCTGGCCACACAGACGTGCACACACACACCAACACACACAGACACACACAGTCACAGGGAAACACAGCACAGGCACAAACACACAGACACACAAACATACAGACAGAAACCCAGACACACACACACTACACAGACGCACGGCGGCAGACCCAGGTCCACGCCCGATCCCAGCACCAGCCTGGGCCCCTGGTTTGCCTGTGCTGTTTCCGCAACTTCCTGTGAATCTATAATTAATTCACCATAAGTTTTTTAAGCGCTCATCTTTGATTATATTGAGGTGATGATTCCCCTCTTTTCTGTTTGATTTTTTTCTTTTCTTCAAACATATACACACATATTTGTTCCAGGGTTTTTTTTTCTTCCCTTTTTTAAAAAAGCGCTAACTAATGATCAGGGAATAAATTCAAATGGAGCAGCATTGGAAATACGAGCTTCCCTCTAGAAAGATGCTGGCACCCTCCCAGACAACAAGGATAAAAGCTTCTGGAAATACTTCATCCGCGCAGCGTCGCATTTTTCACCTGGAGCCGTGTCTCTCCTGTGAGAAATGTGAGTGCCGTTCCGTGTAGCCGAGCCTTCAGTTGCCCTCTGAGTTATGTCCCGGCAACATGACAAATCACAGTATCAATTAACTGCTGTAACACAAGTGGCATTCTGTAATATATTCAAGCACGAAAAACCGCGTAGGTGAAATTTATGTAACCCTAAAAACTATAAGGAGAGAAAAGATCACTTGGAATTTATTGGTAATAATAGGAGACAATGTAATTCCAACGGTGCATGGCCCTTTGAGAAAGGGCGGCCAGGCCTGCAAGTTGTGTGTTCCAGAAAGGACGCAGGTGGGTGATGGGGTGCCCCGGCACAGGGGAAGGGGACAGCGTCGCCTGGAGACCCCAACCCTGCCCCCACCCAGCCTCCCCCTTCCTGAGCAGCAGTTGGCTCAGGGCCAGGCTGAGCTCCAGAGTCCAGACAGGCTCCCCGACCTTGAGCTGGTCGTTCAGGAGCCCCGGCCGCCCCCGGACAGTGCGGCACCCAGGACGGGGCGGGGGGCGGGGTGGTGCGGTGGCAGGGGCTCGCAGCAGCCAGGGATGGGACCAGTCGGTTTCTGCTGGTCAATCACCCGCCTCAAAGTTCAACTTGCTTTCTGAATTTACGTCTTGGAAACAGCGGTTTCCATATTTTTAAAATATGGAGTTTCTTTCAGCGGTATGCTTTATTATAAGAAATTTAGGGGGGAATTAAAGGGAGAAAAGCACTCAGATTTCCTGTTTTCGCACAGCGAGCTCCTGGTGTTTTCACAGTTGGTAAAGGCCTTGTCATTTTGAGATGTTAGTCAGAATCTTGCTCAAAGTCTTCCTACCCTCAGACATGCTGCCTGCAAACACGACAGTTCCAGTGCCCCAGAATAAGGGTCAGTGGGTTGGGGGGGGTCTCTGAATGGGTGAGGAGCCCAGCCCGGGCAGGGGTTCGTGTTCCTATGATCTGCCCCAGGGGCGGTCCCAACTCCCCCCCCCCCCCCCCCCGGCAGCACCCTTCTGCTCATGGAATCCCACAGAACAGCATCCCACAGAACAGCATCACCAGGCAGACCAAGGTCCGTCTCCCAGGACGTGGCCCCTGCCTTCGCCTCGAGGGAGACCCGGCCTCTGTCTGTC